CCTGTGCCGTAAGGGCAGCCCCCTTCGGGGCTCTGTGGGTGGTGAGGATATCCCCTGTGGTCCAGCCACACAGTGGGATGTCATTCAACTCTAAAACGAGACGCGCTGGCAAGACACGAAGAGACCTGAGGGAACCGTCAACGTACATGACCAAGCGGCAGAGCCGATCTGAGAAGGCACACTGTGATTCCAGCTGCGTGCCACTCTGCAGAAGACACACCGCGGGACAGTGGTTGTCAGGAGGGATGAAGAGGAGGCGCACAGGGACTTTGGGGCAGAGACGCTAGTCTGCCTGATACCGTAATGGTGGGTAGAGGTCACATGCATCTGTCCCAACCCCCAGAATGCACACCACCAAGAGTGAGCCATTGTGGACTCTGGGTGACGGTGGCATGTCCGTGGGGGTCCATGAGGGTGACAGGTGTGCCATCTGGTGAAGCAGGCGGAGAGCGGGGGAGGCTGTGCCCCCGTGGGGGTGGGGGCGTATGGCAACTCTGTACTTTCTGCTCAATTTGACTGTGACCCTGAAACTGCCCTGGAAATAAAGTCTATTAAAAGACGTCAATGGAGGGAGAAGAGGAAGAGGAGAGGGAGGAGGAGGAGGAGAAAGTGAAGTCAGCACCCCCTCCAGGAAGACTTTCCTGATGGCCACAGACGACAGCAATTTCTCCCCCGCCAGGAGCTGCAGACAGGCGGGGCGCCCGGCCTCCCCAAGGCTACCCCCTCCCTCTCCTCTGTCCCGTGGCTCGTGTTTCCAGCTTCTGAACCAAAACAGCCACAGCCTCTCCAGGGCAGGGACGCAGAATTTCCATCTCTTGCGTGGAACCCAGCGTGGCTTGTGAGGGCAGTAGGTGTTCAACAAATGCTTCCTCTTGCACCCTGACATTTATAAGATGGCCTCAGTGTCACATGAGAAGTGTGGGGTGCCGGGTCCATGGACATGCTCATGTCTCTGCTGCCTCTGTGTCCAGCCCTGGTGACACAGAGCCCTGTGGCCTGTTAGCCAAGCTGTCGGTGACTCCTGTTGCAACGTGGCTGGGCTGAGGCTGCCTAGACAGCTGGCAAAGCACTATGTCTGAGTGTATGAGGGTTCCCCAGGCAGATGAGCACCGGAGCAGGGCTGAGTAAAGGCCAGGGCCCTCTCGCTGTGGGGACGTCATCCCTTCAGGGCTGAATAGAACAACAGCCCGCGGAAGGCGAGTTTCCCCTCGGCCCGAACTGGGGCATCCATCTTCTCCGGCCCGAAAACCTCAGTACCCCCAGACTCAGGCCTTCAGACAGGACTGAACTCCACCAGCAGCTGTCCTGGGCTCCAGCTCACAGATTGCAGATCATGAGCCTCAGTCTCCATCATCGTGCGAGCCAAGCCCTGCCATAGATCTCATTCTCCACCTCTCTCCATGTCCTATGGGCTCTGCTTCTCTGGAGAGCCCCCACTAATGACTAATGACTAGTGACGGTGGGTAACAGGGACACGGGGGAGGCCTAGGAACAATGACTCCTCTGTGCGGGCATGTGGCCTTCTTCTGCCTCGGAGCTGCCTTCCCACCCTCAATGTTCCTTTTTCCATCTGAAACTTCTAAATGTACTTGATGACTCACCACAAGGCCCTTAAGTGGCATTACTTCTGTGCCTTCAGAGATGAGTAAGTGATCACTCCGACTCACGGAGGGGTTCAGAGCCACGCGGCAACAATGCAGTGTGAGTGGGTGCACCTGTGGGCATGCGGCGGCCCCAGCAGGTGTGGGTGGGTGGAACGGGAGCCCCTGCTACAGCACTCAGCCCCGTGACACAGAGCCGTGTGACGAGCACCAAGCCCTTCGCCAGACCTCTGGCCGCTTCTGTTGCAATTTCAAGAAGACTGCAGAATGGGCTCTGAGCTCAGGGTTATAAAGAAATACAGAAAAGGTAAGGGGGCACTGAAGAGGAAGGGTCAGAGGAGAAGGGGAAAGACCCAGGGAGCATAATTCAACCTCTATGTCCCTCTTCATGCATTAAAAGTAGATGGTAATGATGCTCCCCCTGTAATGAGATTTTGCTTTCCCCCCAACCAGGTACCAAAAGCAGAGCCTTGTACTACTTCCTCCCTCTCCCCTTAGGATATTCTGACTTCACTCCACCCCTTGCTGCCTCAACTTCTGGGTTTGCTAAGGTGGACTCTATTTTTTAAGCCCAGGATAATGAAGGTTTCCCTTACAGTATGTGGCATATATTTCAAGAATCCTTACTTAGCAATTACTGTGCAAAATCTCAGGCCTATGTAGACTAAACCGTGTATTTTGCAAGGGTCACTGGCTTACCACCACCTCCTGTGAACCATGTCAACTCAACCTGGAGATCTTGGCTGTGGTTTAACTGTCTTGGTAAGAGGGGACTTCCACGGGGAAAAGAGAATGAGGCTGGGGTCCTCTTTGTCTTGTTCTGACATGAATTTCATCACAGCAAGGAAAAGGATCCTTGATCAGACCATAAAGTCCCTGGACATTGTTCCAGAGTCCCCTGGGAATCTGGTACCACTCTGACTCCTGCCTTTGGACAGGACCTCTTGTTTTCTGACCTCCGTGAGCCTTTCTCCTTATCCTTGGAGTGGAGACTTCACAGGCTAACTTCAGCCAGATACGTTTTCTTCTAGCATGTCTTTTGTTTCTGTTTCCCTTCCTGCTCCGTGCAGGCTATACCTCCTGGAACTGTCCTGCAAGCCTCAAATTTTGTCCTTATGTTCCCATGTGTCTCCACTGCACATTATAAAGCATTTACTTACTCCCCATCACCTTCTAGTTTGCTGATTTTCCTCACCCCATTAGTTCTCTTTCTGCATTTGCCTATGACTTTTTTGAGTTGTTTATCTCTGTGGAGTATGTTCGATGTTTCTATGCTCTGACTGAGACTCCTGAAGCTGTCTCATGCACCTTCATTGAGATTCATTTTCTCTTTCCTTAGCCCTCTCCAGGAGTGGTTCACTCTGTCCTCTTCCCTCTGCTCTTTGAGTGGCACAAAGGTTTGGAGGAGTGTCCCGACCTCTCAGGCCTGTAAGGAGCAGAACGTGCTGGTCTCCGGGGCCAAGTCCTGTTGGAGGAGGGTGGCAGGTAGGCCCGCAGTCCTCTGAGCTCGGGGAGAGGAAGGGCGGTAAAGATGGGGGAAATAAAACAGATTCACTTCATTGATTTTTCAAAGAGCCTTTAAGTTCCCAGTAGATAAGTGAGAGAGTGGATCTTTCTCAAAATCAACACGAAATGTGCAGCCTCCTTAGGGACAATGGAAATCAAATTACAATAGCAAAGAGACCATTTTTCAGTTACCATATTAAGAAAGGGTTAAAACACACACACACACACACACACACACACACACACAGTAATTCCCCAAACCCCTCAGAGGTGAACTGGAAACAACTTGGAGAAAGGAGAAAATTGTTTTGGTAAAATGTATCTTTAGATCTGAAAAAGTCTGCCAGGATCTAGTGCTTCTATTTCTAGGACTTTACATGTACACATGTAGTGGGATCACGGGGACATTACCCTCGTGAAATAGTCACACATGTACACACACACACCATGTAACCAAAGACGTTTGGAAATACTTTCTCAAATATGCAGAGACCCCAAAATGTGAAAAGTAATAGCCTTTGAGTAATGTTTTTATCTTTCTACTTTTTATAATTATCCAAATTTTCTGTAATTAGTGTATTATTGGGAGGGGAAGAGTTCTGTGTGACTTTGGACAAATAACTGTCTATGTCTGAACCTCAATTTTCTCATCAGTAAAAATGAGCCAATGCCACCTGCCTCATTGGGTCATCAAGGTGAAATGAAAAACCACCGTGTGTGAAAGGCCCCACACTGCACCTGGGGCAGAATGGGGTGCTGCTCAGTGCCGGGTTCCTCCCTTCCTCTGTGAGCCTCATTGGATTTGATGAGAAGGCGGGAGAGAGTGGGTGAAGGGGGCAGCTGGAGAATAAAGTGAGGTGACTGATATGAACCACGGAGTTTTGACGGAAGTCCCGGGGGGACAGTATGTTCAGTGGACAGAACTCCTCTCCAAAACCATCTGGAATCTTTGCTCCCAACGTGTTGGCAGCATACCTCTGGCAACCACTCTGCGCTCAGGTTGGCTGTGAGAACCACCCATTGAGCAGGCACAGCCCAGGGGCCCCCTGGGCCAAGGGCCAGGGCCTCACAGCCTCAAGGCCCCACAGTCTCAGGATAGACCTTTGCCCTCATCTCCAAAGCACACCTCTCAGACGCGGGACAGGACCACGGAAGAGGGCTTCCAAACTGCCTCGCCTTGCCTCCCTCCCTGGGCTAGTATTTATTCTCAAACGCATCCCCACAATTACCTTGTGAAAAGAGTGCTACGTGCATTCGATGTTGAGCATTGAAAGCAGCACTTGGCTACAGGTACACATTTAAATGGGCCACATTTTTGTATCCCTGCTGCTCAATCAGCAGAGCGCCCTCTCTCTAGTGGGCCAGAATGAAGGCACCTGGCGCATAGTAGGCGCTCAACCTGTCGGTTAATATTGCAACAGCAATTTTAATGAATCTGAAGTTGGGGGCCAGAGCGGTGGGTGACAGGTGGCACGAGTTTTGTCCAAGGATCCGACCAACCACCTGTTAACAGACAGAGGCCAGAGGTCTCTGCAAGAGAGAAGACTCCCTGCAGACTGTGCCCAGGCAGAATGGGGCGGGGCGGGGCCGAGGCCCGAGGCCCGAGGCCCGAGTCGGCTCGGAAACTTTCGCTGTAGGACCCGTTCCCCCGGCGCCGGCCGGCCTGGCGGCGCGGGGGACCAGTCGGCTGCGTCGAGGCGAGGCGCACCGTGATTGGCGGAGATGGGAATTTATTGGCAGCTGTGCCAGCCGATCAGGGAGCCCAGCCAGCGCCGCGTCCTCCCAGCCGCGTCAGGAGTGGAGCGAGGCCTGTGGCTCCGCCCCCGGGCCCGCCCCTCTCCGCGCGGTGGGCCGCGCTCGCCCGCTCCAGCGGCAGCTGGCGCCGCCCGCTGGTCCCGGCTGCTCCTCTCCGGCCCCGGCGAGTCCGGCTCCTCCCGAGCAACTTTGCGGCGGGCCCGGAGGCCCGAGGGCGTCGCAGCGCCGCGTGCGGCCAACTTTTGGGCCGGTGAGTACTTCGGAACGGGGGACCGCCGGCGTGGGGCGCCGCCCATCTCGGGCCTCAGTTTCCCTGTAAGAGCGGAGGGGCGGCTGGTCCCAACGTCCCCCCTGCAAGTTCCCCAGAAATTGAAGGGCCGGGGTCACGCCCACTCCGCGACGCCACGGCGACCCCCGCCTGGGTGGGGTCTCCCTAGGGGGTGAGCACCCCTGGGGCGCCGCGCCCCGGGAATCGTGGGGCACTGCGCGCTCCGAGCACTTCACGCCCGCAAGCGTCGCCGTGAAACACCCTCGCGGGGCGAACCAGGCCCGAAAGGCCGGTGGCCCGTGGCTCGGGGGTCCTGGCGGGTGGCAAGGGCTTCCCTGCCCGCGCACCGGTCCCGACTTGCCCCGTCACGGCCCTTCCCCCGCGGCCGTGAGCTGGACTCAGGGCGCCTGGGCTCCCCCGTGAGGGCCCGAGGGGGCTCAGTCCCCGGTGGGGCCGGCCCGCCTGAGTAGTAGCCTGTGGGTGAGGCTGAAGCGTTCGATGCCCACGTGGAATCTGACAGTTACTGTCCCCGGACTCCCCCTGGGGAAGGAGGCGAGGTGGGCGATGGCAGCCCCTGGGCCCTGGGAACTTTCATTTCTGTTCTGAAAGATGGAAGCTTTCTGGGGAATCTGACCCGGCCCTTTGGGGCTTGATGCTAAGGAATGTTAAAGCACTAACATTTGTACCGTGTTGAACCCTCCGGGTCGCCTTAGCGGTAGGGATTATATCTCAGTTTCACAGGAGGAAGCTGATGCTCCCTGGGGTTTGGTGACCTGCCCAGGCAAGCGCAGCCCCGCCTCTGCTCACCTTGGACAGTGACCCCTGGAGTGCAGCCCTGTGGAAAGGGCTGTCCCTTCTGCTGGGATCCATCACTCACAGAGTGCCCTGGGTACCCACTGTGCTGGCTGCCTGACCTCGCCGCAGCCCCAGCGAGGGAGCCCCTCTGGAAGCTCAGCCGCCACCCTGGCCAGGGACCCCCCCTTGTGATTCTCCTGGGAGCCCCTACGAATCTGATCAGGGATTTTGGTAGAGAAAGACTCCTTTGTCCTCCACCTCCCCCAGCAGGTGGACCTTTGACTGGACAGGAACAGGTTGCTGGGAGACCACCTCTCACCTTCCTTCCCAGCCTGGAAGAGTATGTGAAGGGGCTTCCCACTGAGGCCTCCTCTGCCCTCCCAGGCCAGGGCTGGACAGGTCTTTGGGACTGGTCACAGAGGGGAACCTAGCTTGGTCCTGGCCCCGGAAATGCCTTTGCTGCCGGACAGAGACCAAGCCCTGGTCCATGATGGTGGTGGCAAGAAGATCATAATACAGAGGGTGCTGTGTGCTTTGCATGTCCCCACCTCAGAAAGTGACGCCACTGCTGTGGTCCTTGGCCACAAACCCAGACACCCTCTGCTTCCCCACCCCTCACATTCAGTTGGTGATGCCCCTGCCTCTCCTGGCTCCAGAGCTGTGCTCAGAGGCCTGTGCTGGGCTAGCCTCCTGAGCTTTCCCTGGATGGCCGCCTGGCCCTTTCCTGGTACCCCCATCGTGTCCCCACACAGCCCTGATGGCTGTTAACTGCCACTTCCCTGCTCAGCACTAGCCTGCACTCCCTTCTGGCCCGAAAGCCTGTTACTCGTTCAGGCCCTCAGGACCTTCCCCTGCCGCCCGATGAGCCTCTCTGATTCCCGTGTCCCCTCCTCGGAAGTCACTTCTCAGCCACCTGCACCTTCCCGGCCACATTGCTGCTCACTTTTCTTCGCTGCCCTTTTCCTGGGCAGTCCCTGCTGGCGCGCCCGACACACTCCTTCTTCCCACCTGTCCTGGCTCATGCCTGCTGGTGCTGAGGGCTTCATCCAGGCCTTTCTCCCAGAGCCCCTCCCCTGCCCTCCCGCAGCTCAGCGAGGCCCCCTTCTGTGCTTGCAACCCCACACTGGGATTCTGTGGCTGTCTCTGTAGGTGTCCCTCCTGTCCAGGCAGTTCGCGGAGGCCAGCCCACAGGAGTCTCTCTGGGCAGGGAGGCCCGAGAAGCGCCTGGCACAGGATCGGACCAGGCGCAGACCAGCTGCCAGGTGTACACGGTGGGGGCTCAGCGCTGGAGAGACACTGGCTGCCTATGGTCCTGCCCTGGACATTCCCTCTTGACTCCCCCTTTGTTCCTGTGAACTTGGCACTTGGGTTTGATCCTTAATACCCTGGGGCAAAAATAGTCATCTGGGAGCCTCCAAGGGCCTTGTGCCCTTGTCTTGAGGAGCTGCCCCATGCCAGGGGGCTGGGCCGGGACAAACATCCCAGGTCTTGGGAACCCCCAGGCCCACTCCCTTAAGGGCTCAGTCACAGGTGGGTTTTAAAGGAACATTTTTTTTTTTGTAATTCCAAAAACCTTGCACATGCATTATGTAAAATTAGGGAAATACATTTAGAAAAAGAATAAAATAAAAGCACCCATTAATTCCTCCACCCAGAGAGGCAGTATTTACCTTTTTGGAGGCATTTTCTTTCAACTTTTTCAGCAGATAAACTTTGTTTTCATCCTAAAGAGACTCGGGCTGTCTCCTGCTGCTTTAAATCCTGCTTAACCGTGTTATGCACACATTTTCTGATCCGTGACTGTCCCCAGGCAAGGCCGTGGTTGACAGCTGCACAGTGCGGTGCCACATGGCGGGGCTGCGGCGTTCATGACCGCCTTCTCTGGACGGGGCTGCAAAGGACAGATGTGAGACACCAGGAGGGGCTCTGCAAGGGCAAGGTGTGGGGTCAGCAGTTGCTTGCGGCTGCGCAGAACACCAGGTTTTGGGAGAGAGTGGACCAGGGAAGAGAAGGTGCAGTGGGGGTCGGGTCGCAGAGGCCAGGGGGGCCCAGGTCTTGAGAGGCCCCTTTTTCGAAACTCGCTGAGGTTTTGTGGATTGGAATTCCAGCTCCCACACTCTGTGGCCTTGAGCAGGAATCTCTCCTGGGCTCGAATTTCCTCATCTGTGAAATGGGATGGGGGTTGAAGGACAAGCCGTTTCTCCTTCTATAACACCAGGATATTATTACCTACCTGCTAGGCCACGTGATGAAGAACCCCAAGAAATCTGTGGGAAGTGCTGGGAACAGCACATTCCAGACACGTGTTTGCTGTCGCTGTCATTAATGACAGAAATGCCCGGCACAAGCCAGCTCTCTCAGGCGAGCTGCCCTCTGTCATTCCAAGAAGGTGGCACTCGGTTCTGGGGGCAGCAGGAGCCACTGGAGATGGCCAGGTAGCATGTGGCCCCTCATGGTTTGAGTTTGGCCTTTTTTGCCGGTGGCCTGCCCATGCCCGGTCGTGTCTGCCCACTCACCGCTGATGTCCCACCCACAGCCAGGGCATGCTCCCTTCGGTCTGCACATGCACTAAGCGACCGGTTTTGCAGATGTTGCCCCCTGGTTTGGATCCCAGAAGCCTGAGGTTTGGAAACAGCACTGAGCCCTGCTTTGATCCCCAAGCAGATTTGCATGGCTTGACCGCACTTCTGGTTCGCACCCAGAGGGATGTTCTAAGTACGTGCTGTGCTGGGGCACCCAGAGCGGAATCTTCAGGGTTCTCTGATGGACACAGATCCGATCTGTGGGACCCGCGTGGAGCGGGGGCTGGGGCGGACATGGTTGTGCAGCCCCACCGGAAATGTGTGGGCACCTCCCATCAGGCTCGCGGCTTGGAGCTGGCTGTCCGGACATGTCTGGGACCCTCGCCCCTCTGTGCACCTCGTGGTCTGGTCTCATGTGGTCCCCACAGTGTCCCAAGCACTGTGAATGTAGTCCCTGTTCCAGCCGAGGAGACTGGCCGAGGTACGTGGAGGGGGAGGCATGCTCAGGGCCGCACAGCTGCGGGGCACAGCCAAGGGCAGGGAGTCCTGGCCCGTCAGGGTTGGGAGCCAGATGTTCTTGCTGCCGGCCTCTGCCTGCTCGGTGCTTAGTGTCCCCATCTCAGGGAAGAGGTAGACAGGCCTTGAGTCTGGAGGGCACCCTTTGGGAATCTGTGGAAGTGCCTCACAGGACCCTACTCAGTGCACAGTGGTCCCAACGACAGAGGGTTGCGTCCCCCGAAGCCCAGCCTGGGCCCAGGTTCAGCTTTCAGCCCCACGGTCTGTGGCTCTGGCCATCGGAATCATGTCTGTGTGTTTATGTCCATGTGGCCCTTTTGTAGACCCACGAGCCCTTCCCTCGGCATGGACCTGCACTCTGGCCTGTTCTAGGCGTCCATTCGACAGAACCACGCGGCTTGCCCACTCTGCTTTCTGCGTGTGTTCCTCCGGGGCGTTCGAGTTCTGAGATCTTGTCCTGTGGGTCCAGACGGGAGTGGGGCAGATCTCACTAAATGCTGGCCCCACCGGCTGTGGTTCCCTCCGCCCCCCCTCCCCCTCCACTCCTGCTGGGGGCTCTGAGGGTGAGTCCTCCCGCCTCTCCCCAGCTTCTGGGGGCTGCTGGTGACTGGTGTCCCTGTGGTCGCAGCTGCATCACCGCAGCCTCTGCCTCTGTCTTCTCTGCGTGGCTTCCTGAGTCTGATTCCCTCCTCCCCTTGTGCGCACCCAGTCACTGGGTTAGGGCTCACCCAGACCCAGGACCTCATCTGAAGATCTGAATTACGTATGCAGAGCCCCCTTTTTCCAAATCAGGTGACCCCCACAGATCCTGGGTGGACCTAGCACATGGAGGCTGCCATCCGCCCGCCGCAGCCAGGCACGGTCCCGGGCTCCGTGTGGGCACCTTGTTGACTCTGCCCCAGCCCGTCATCCAGGCACGGCCCTGGGCTCCGTGTGGGCACCTTGTTGACTCTGCCCCAGCCCGTCGTCCAGGCACGGCCCCGGGCTCCGTGTGGGCACCTTGTTGACTCTGCTCCAGCCTGTCGTCCAGGCACGGCCCTGGGCTCCGTGTGGGCACCTTGTTGACTCTGCCCCAGCCCGTCGTCCAGGCACGGCCCCGGGCTCCGTGTGGGCACTTTGTTGACTCTGCTCCAGCCCGTCGTCCAGGCACGGCCCCGGGCTCCGTGTGGGCACCTTGTTGACTCTGCCCCAGCCTGTCGTCCAGGCACGGCCCCAGGCTCCGTGTGGGCACCTTGTTGACTCTGCCCCAGCCCGTCGTCCAGGCACGGCCCCGGGCTCCGTGTGGGCACCTTGTTGACTCTGCCCCAGCCTGTCGTCCAGGCACGGCCCCGGGCTCCGTGTGGGCACCTTGTTGACTCTGCTCCAGCCCGTCGTCCAGGCACGGCCCCGGGCTCCGTGTGGGCACCTTGTTGACTCTGCTCCAGCCTGTCGTCCTTACTGCTCAGATGAGGACACCCAGGCCACATGGTTCATGCCCCATGAGGTGGGGACTCGGGGCCTCAGATGCTGGGGCCTGAGCTCCTGACTGCTGGGGCCCGTTGAGCTGGAAGGGCCTTGAATGCCTTTGCTCCTGATTCCTCCCCTGTACAGTGGGGATGGTCTTACGGGGCTGTTGTTTGGCTGAATGAAACCACAGGGAATGTTGGGCAGCCCCACCTGGTTCCCCCTTGCTGTCTCCTTTTTCTGCCAAAAGCACGAGGCCTGAGCGGGCCGAGCTGGGCCAGTCCTGGTGTGTGTCTGACCCGAAGCTTCTCTCCCGGCAGGATGGACCCCAGCGCCCCTCCTCCCGGCCCCTCCGGCCCACAGCCGTCGCCACCCCCACAGCCCCAGGCTCGCTCACGCCTCACTGGCACTTCCTCAGCGAAACAGGAGAAGAGTGGGGCACCCCGAGCTCCTGGAGCCCAACTTGGACCTGGGCCAGATGTGGGAGACACAGCGGCCTCGGCAGTGCCCCAGGCCCTTCATGGCAGGAGCCGAGAACAAGCGGATGGAACAGGTAAGGGCGCGGCCTGGGCAGGGGCTGTGCCGTGGACGCGGGTGGGCACCGAGTCCCATGGCCCAGGCAGCCCTCGAGGTCCTGCAGCGGGGCTCCCCCTGCAGTGCAGGGCCCACTCCCCTGAGGCCGTCAGCCTCACCCCTGCAGCAGGCTGCACCCGCCGTCTGCAGACAGGGCGTCACCTTTGCTTATTTGTCACCCACCCCCGCGCTGGGGGCTGGTTCCGCACTGCGAAGGTGAAGGCGGAGAGAGGCTCCACCTCCCCAGCTCTGGCCCCTCACAGCACTGCTGGGGAAGCCCGCGTTGTCCCCTCCTCTGTGGCCACTTCCCCGGCCATTTGGTGAGGCGGCTCTGCTTGGTCGGGGCCCCGCGTGGCCACACCCTGAGGGCAGCTGCCGCACTGGAATGTGCCTGGACCCGGCCAGGGCTCCGCTCCTCTGACCACTGTGCTCCATCCCCAGCGGGGCTGCTAAAGGCTGCCCCCCCCCCCATCCATTCTTGGGCCTGTTCAGGTTTCAGCTCCCCTGGGCCTTCCCAGGAGGTGCCTCGGGGCAGAGGTGAGGCAGAGCGGGACCCAGGTGGGACAGCGCAGTGGTCGTGGTGCTTGCTGTCCGGCTGACATCGGCAGGGCTCTCGGTTCGGTCCATCCTCGGCCCGCCTGCTGTTCATGAGCACGGCCCTTTGTGGCCCTGCGTGGCCATGTGGGGGCAGAGGGAAGCCTGGGGCCTGTGGAGCACTCAGGTGGCCCTGGACTGGGTGGTGGTGGGGCGGGGGTTGGGAAGCCTGCTTTCTGAGAAGGGAGGGTGCTGAGCAGGCGGTAGCCTGGGGGCGGGGACCTAGCATGGCAAGAGCGAGAGGGGAAGGGGCCTTGCCTGGCGGGGAGAGCCCAGACCCCCAGGTGAGGGGTGTGGTGGGGAAGGCGGGGTCAGGAGTGGTCCTGCCGTGTGTCTGGCCTGAGCATGAGATATACCGGGGGTGAGGGGCCTCGCTGTGAGCCTCCTGGACGCCTGCAAGGGCGGAGCCCGGCCTCTGGCTCTGATGTTCGGGGAGGACACAGCTGGTGCCAGCACTTGTCCTTCTGCCGTGGACCCGCTGCTTCTCACCTGTCACCTGTGCTGTTCTCAGCACCCACCCTGCGACGCAGGGCCCGAGCTCCAGGGCCTGCCCAGCTCCCCGGTCCTGCTCGGGGCACCAGGTCTAAGCGTTCCGCTGGCGGAGAAAGTCCTGTCCCCCTCTTCCCGGGCTGCTGCCCGCCTCTCTGCACACTGAGACCATCCCACGTCCTCCCTGCCCCACGGGGGAGCCTCCGCCCACAGCGGCCGGCACCGTCCGCACCTGTCGGAACCCAGCCCGACTCTTAGGGCTCTGCTGCCCCTCACACCTTCGGGCCGAGGCCCACAGCAAGAAACACACGTGCCGCTGCCACCTGGCGTGCCCGCCCACGTGCACACACACTGTCAGTGGGGACGGAGGTGGTCACAGCTGTCCTTGTCATTGTATGTGTTGGTCTGACCATCTCCTTCTGTTCCTTCTATTTAAAAATGAATGCTGCTTGCAGGCCGTTAAAGTCCACCTTGGTGGGTAGAACGTGTTTGTAAAACACTCTGTGGTCTGGTGCCCATTTATTTCTGAGCTTGTCCCAACTGGGACTCCTGGGCGCCTGTCTGTGCACCCGAACGGGGTGTCTGTTGAGTGTCCTGGCTGAGTGGCTGGGCAGGACCAGAGACTAGCCGAGGTGTGACTCGGCTCCAGCTGGTACCCTTGAGCTGTGTGCCTTCGAGGTCGGCACCCAGCCTGTTTCTGCATCTGTCCTTGGGCACGGTGCTGCCAACCCGAGGTGTCCCCATGGGGACTGCGCTGGTGCCGGGACCTTGTGCGATGAGCGAACATTCCTCAGGCCCCAGTGGGTGCAGAATCGAGCTGAGCCCCGCCCCGGTCCTTGCAGGGACTTGCGGGTGGCATACAGACGGGCCATACCTGAGCTGCGGTACCTGATATGCTCCCTGAATGTCACTGAGCACGCTCCTGGGCCCTGGCTCCTGCCCCGAGGTCCTGTTCAGACCTCTTGGGGTGTCCCCTTGAACATTAGTACATCCATCAAGTTTCCAACCCCCTAAACTCCCTTTGGTGACCGGCCATAACGTCAGCTCAGGACTCAGTGTGTCTGTGTTTGGGGGCCTGTGTGTATCAGGTTTCTTCTGTCCTTGACAGAGGCGTATGTCACAGTTACGTGTGCGTGTGTGTGTTTGTGTGCATGCTTTCTTTTATCTCCCTCACCCCAGGCTGAGTTAGGTGAGCTGCGTTCTCCCCGAGGTGGTCGGTGTGACTTAAGGAAGCCCTGACCCCACTGCCTCCTGGGCTCGCTTACCTCGCCTCCTTCCGGCTCACCCAGCCTTGTCATGTTGTTTTCCGCAGCGAGGGCGCTGCCCAAGGTGACTGCCCCAGCTCAGAAGGCCCTGTGCAGAGGCCACCCCCTGAGGAGCACCTGCTGTGGGTCCCGCTGTCCTCCGGGCTTCATGTGACCGTCACAGTGGCCCGGGAGGGGAGCTCTGTGATTATCCCCACTTAGAGACGCGGACCGAGGCACACACTTGTCCCAGTGACCGGCTGCTGAGTGAAGGGCAGCGGAGTCTCCTGTCCCACAGCCAGAGGAGCTGCGGGCCCTCTGGCTCTGCTGTTGAGTTTGCACCGGGCTGGCAGCGGCCCTGGGCTCTTCTGATCTCCAGTCTCCTTCAAAGATCCGTGCGTTCTCCGCTTTTATCCGCAAGCCTCTGGGCGGGCCAGGGCCTGACCCTGGAATCTCAGCCCGGCCACAGACACCTCCCAGCCGCAGGGCAGAGGCCGGGCCGGGCTTGCATTCGGTCTGGCTGATGCAGAGCAGCCCTGGGAGGGCGGAGCCAGGACCGCACGCTCCAGATAAGGGGCGTCAGGAAGCAGATGTGGTTTCTGTTTGCTTCTGCCCCAGAAAGTTGGGGGCAGAACAAGCCCTGGGCAGGTTGGCGGTCTCGGGGTTCCGACCCCCCATGTCTGGGCTGTGAGGTCACTTTCCCAGCTGTTCTGCAGTGTCACCGGTCACTGATGTGGGCCCAGCAGGCCCGCCCTGCAGCCCCGAGCAGGCAGAGAGCAGTGCCTGGGGGTGGCCTCGGGCGGTTGTTGTTTGTCAGCTCACTTGTCCATCCAGCACAGGTGACGAGCAGCAGCTACGTCCCGACAGGTGACAGGAGTGTTAACTCTCCGTGCCGGGCACCACCTCAGGCACCACCCATCTCGACTCTCGTCTCCACCCTGTTCCAGACGAGAAAACCCAGGGCAAGAGGTTAAGTCATGACCCCGGGCCCCCAGCTGGTGAGGGGTGAGGGCGAGACTTGAACACAGCTGAGTCCGTGCTTGCCGCTGTGACGCGTTGCCAGTGACAGCGTGTGCTCAGCGTGGGTCCCTCTCCGGTCGGCTGGCCCCAGAGTCGTCTCTGGCCCGGCTCTGGTGATGGGCGGAGGCTCCGGCCTGCCCCCAGGGGACCTGGGTAAGAGAGACCAAGGTGCCCACGTGCTTCGTCCTGGTTGGTGCACGAGGGCAGGGCCGTGTGCTCGGGCCCTTCCACCCACTCGGGGCCACAGCAGAGGGAGTGCCAGCCTGCAGGCTGGCCCAGCCCCCCAGACCCCCCAGCCCCAGTGCCCGGCCAGTGCTTGCTCAGGCCGGATGGAGCCCTTGGGGAGCGCTCGCCCGTGGCCGGAGGCCTGCCCCGCCGCGCAGGGACAATGGGCAGGACGGGCAGTGGCAGAGGCAGATGCTGGTGTGGAAGGGAAGAAGGACTGGATCATGCAGGTGTCCTGGGCCCAGGGGCTGTGAGGCTGATGGTGCCCTGGGCGGTGTGGGGTCAGTGTGGGGTGCTGGGGTCAGCCGGCCAAGCAGGGCCTCGAGGTTCACATTCTGTGAACCCCAGCTCTGGACCAGTCACCTAATATGATGTCTTGTTCTCCACAAACTGTCTTGTTGGGGGTGTCGGTGTCTGCATTGAAGATGGCCCACTGGGCCGCACAGCTCTGTGATGCTGAGGGGTCGCGCCAGGTCAGGTGTCCCTCCACGCGAGCCCGCAGACTTTGCGGTCCGCCCCCTTGGTCTGAGTCCTCGGCAGGAAGTACGGTGCAGGGCTGAGGGGTGTGGCAGCACCCAGGAGGGAGAACCCACCGTGGTGACCCGGGCACTGAGGACCATGGCCACTCAGGGAGGGGCGGTCGTCCTGGGCCTGAAGCCGTCGCCAGTGAGTCCCGGGACCTCGGTGAGGAGCCCAGTTCGGTCCTTGCAGGGAGCTGTCCACCGAGAAGTCCGGGTGCCTGCCTGCCCTGTGGGGCCGTGAAGAATGCCCGTTTGAGCCATTTCCAGCCACCCCCAGTGCCTTCGCTAGACTGGTGTGACCTCCCCTCAGGCCCTGGAGGGTCACCTCAGGCCACTGCCCCAGCTGCCTCCTGGAGGCCTGTGTCCACAGACTCGGCACCCTGAACGGGCCAGAGGCACCGATGGTGCAGAGCCGGCCCCGAGGACCGGTGACGGACAGGGACGGCTGGGCACCAGGCGCTGTCACTGGGCTGTTCTTGTTCCCTTTAACTCTGGCCTGTTCCAGAAGCATCTAGAGATGCTCGGTAACCCTACCGAGCACCTACTGTGTGGTCAGCTGTGCTTCGGCCACGTCCGTGTCCCTGCGACAGGTGTGCCGCCTGCCGGGAGCTGTGGCGACGGGTGGGGGCAAGGTGTGGCGTTGCCATAGCCCCGGGATCGGTTCTGTGAATCAAAGACGGGGGTAAAGCATGTTTTTTGCAGAAACTTTATTGTTGTGCGACCCACTGCCTGGAGGTTGCAGTGAAGTAGGTGTAGCGACGGGACGCTTCTGCAAGTTTGGCCAACGTTTCAGAAAGTGAAGCGCAGCAGGAGCCACGGGCGTTTGGGCCCTTGCACCCTTGCACCCAGTAATTCCACCGAAGGACCTGTGCTGGGACAGTGTCTCCCCAAAGGTGTACACACAGAGTGGCCCGTGGCACCATTTCACAAAGTTCAAGAGCACTGAGTGTCCCCTCGGTGGGACTTCTGAGGCACTGAAGCAGTGAACCCCCCGGGCCACGTGGGGACTGGTTGTAACTCACTGTCACAGATACGTGTCAGAATGCACGCACCGAGCGTGGCTGCCAGAACTGTGTGGACTGCAGTCTCAGAAACACGCACCTGGGTGCGTGCTGGGGTGCTGGGCGCGGGTGCAGGTCTGGTGGTCAGGTCGGGGCTTCTGGCAGGCCCGTGCTCCACAGTGAGCTCAGGGCACTGAGCGGGCCACAGCAGGACTCGGTGTGTCCTTCCAGCGCCCACCCGAGACGAGCAGGCACTGAGCTGGCTCCCCAGGAGGCTGCCGCCCCGATCATGCGGGAGCTGCGTGGGGCGTTCTCCCCACACCCCGTGCTCCACGCCTGGAGCTGCCCTGCTGTCCTCTCCGGGCCCCTGATGAGCGGCGAGGACCGGCCTCGGGATACTCTGACTGTTTTCCTGTGTTGAAGGGCCCGTGAAGGGAGACGCAGAAACCCCCTTTGAAGAAGTCCTGGAGAAGGCCAAGGCTGGGGACCCCAAGGCACAGACAGAGGTGAGCACCGCGGTGTCCGGGGGAGGCGCGGCCGAGGCCCCAGGTCAGCCGGCCTGGGCGAGAGCTCGGGGCACGGGATGGGTGCTGCAGGTCCAGAGGCGGGGCCGTGGGAATGGGACGGTGCCCGCATGCTCGCCCCACCATGCGCCTGGACGAGAGCTCGGGGCGCGGGATGGGTGCTGCAGGTCCAGAGGCGGGGCCGTGGGAATGGGGCGGTGCCCGCATGCTCGCCCACCATGCGCCTGGACAAGGCTCGGGGCGCGGGATTGGTGCTGCAGGTCCAGAGGCGGGGCCGTGGGAATGGGGCGGTGCCCGCATGCTCGCCCCACCATGCTCCTGGACAAGGCTCGGGGCGCAGGATTGGTGCTGCAGGTCCAGAGGCGGGGCCGTGGGAATGGGGCGGTGCCCGCATGCTCGCCCCACCATGTGCCTGGACAAGGCTCGGGGCGCAGGATTGGTGCTGCAGGTCCAGAGGCGGGGCCGTGGGAATGGGGCGGTGCCCGCATGCTCGCCCCACCATGTGCCTGGACAAGGCTCGGGGCGCAGGATTGGTGCTGCAGGTCCAGAGGCGGGGCCGTGGGAATGGGGCGGTGCCCGCATGCTCGCCCCACCATGCGCCTGCCCCTTTCGTTGTGTCTCTTTGTTTGCCCACTCGTTCCTGCCACCCCTTTGGGGAGCTCGCGTTACTCTCCTGTGTCCTGCTCACACCTGGGCTTCAGCGTCACCTCCTCCGGGATGCCTTCCTTGCCTCCTGCCTGTTCTTGGTGCCTCACCCCCACTCTCGTTGCATCTGCGGAGGGGGCGCCACACCCTCGTGTCTGAGGAGCAAGTGCCCTGAGGGCCCAGCAGGCCCCGCCAAGTGTAGATGCTAGTGGGACCGTTGGTTCCTGCAGCCTTTCTCTCGGCCTGGGTGACAGGAGGCTGCTGGCCAGGGACATGGGGAGGGAGGGCCCAGGAAGCCGAGGGGACGGGATGGGGCGGGACGGGGCGGGACGGGGCGGGGCGAGGAACGCAGCCCATCGCAGGGAGGCCCCTTGCACGGCTTGACGGGTCTCGCTGGCAGGTGGGCAGACACTACCTGCAGCTGGCCGGCGACGCGGACGAGGAGCTCAACAACTGCACGGCCGTGGACTGGCTGACCCTGGCCGCCAAGCAGGGCCGGCGCGAGGCCGTCAGGCTGCTCCGCAGGTGCCTGGCAGAGAGAAAAGGTGAGTGTGGTGTGGCTGGGGCGGCGGCTCAGGAGGCGGTGCCGCCTGTAGTCACAGCGGGGACCCCGGGAAACCTATGCAGGTCGCACCGCCGAGCAGTAGTCTCGCCTCCGTCTGGCGGGCGTCCAGACAGTGCTTCTGGAGCGCAGGTCACATGGCAGGAAGCTGCAGTCACTCTTCAGCTCACGTTGGCGTCTGCAAGTGACACTCAGGTTCCCATGGGACTGGGGAGTAGCCCTGCAGCTGGCACAGGCCGGCTCCACGTGGCAGAGGGGGCAGCAGACACCTCAGTTGCACTCGACGCAGGGTGAGGGCTGTGGTCACTGATGCGTCACCCCGCCCACCGGAGACTGCTCGCCCTGGTGTCACAGAGGAGAAAGGTGGTGTGTGTCGTAAATGGTCCTTTCAGCGGCCTTTTTGTCAGCTGTGGAAGCATCTGTGCTCGTCGTGGGAAACGTGAAGATACAGAGGCTGTGCAGTTTGCCATTTCCTCTGCTGTGCCTGCTCCAGTCCCTCGCGTCTGCCCTCTGCCGGCGGCTGCCTGTGGGGACGGCCCTGGCGGCGTTCTGTTAGCCGGTTTCTCACCGGCCAGCCCCTTCCCGGAGCAGGCGGGGGTCTCGCCGGCCGGAGCCGGTCCCTGCGGCCCGCGCGGCTTGGCTCATAGGCAGAGCCAGCAGTTCCCGAGGCCCGGAGGGTCAGTGCGGGGAGCGAGCCAGGAGCACAGGACGGCCCCCAGCGCCGCCCACCGTGGTCGCTCGGGAGTGTCTGCTGCGGGCCGGCGGCCTCCGGCCGGGAGAGGGGTGCCTGCAGGGCTGAGGCACAGCGTCCTCTGCACAGACTCCCTTTCTGCCCTGGTGACCGAGGGGCCCCTCACATGTGTCCCTCCAGGCCCCTCAGGCGAGCCGGACAGGGCTCCCGGCAGCAGGACGAGGCCCTGACTCCCTCTCCTTTCAGGCATCACCTCCGAGAACGAGCAGGAGGTGAAGCAGCTGTCCTCCGAGACCGAGCTGGAGCGGGCCGTGCGCAAGGCGGCCCTGGTCATGTACTGGAAGCTCAACCCCAAGAAGAAGAAGCAGGTGGCCGTGTCTGAGCTGCTGGAGAACGTGGGCCAGGTCAACGAGCACGGTGCGCGGCCTCCCGAGGGGCGCCACGGCCTGCGGGGACTCGGGCTTCCCTGCGGGGACCTTCTTGTGGGGATAGCGTGGGTCCCAGAAGGCCTAGGGAGGGTCCTTCCAGGGACGTCCTTTTGTTCTCGGGGAGCCCTTCCTGGGGCTTGGGTGGTAACCCAGAGAGGCATGCTTGATGTGACAGTCGGGGCCACCTGTGGAGCCCCAGAGACCCCTGCGGCGGCCCAGCCCCGCCCCGCCTGCTGCCTGCACGGGGCCACGGAGCCCCTGCTGTCGCTCTCCCGCCGCTCCCCTCGGGCCCAGCAGCGCCCCCTCCAGCACGGGCTGGGAACACGCGGGAAGGCCCAGCCCTGGCCCCTGGGGGCTTGTTGTCTGTTCCAGGGAAGGTCACAGCCAGGGACAACGCCAGCAAAAGGTGACGAGGCCTGAGACCTCGGTGTGCCCAGTGCTGTGCCTGTGTCTATACAGGCCTGGGCTGTGCTGCAGGGGCACTAAGTCGCCCGGGTGGGTGGAGGCCGAGGGCTGGTGGCCAGAGAAGTGCCCTGTGCAGCAGAGGCTCCAGGCCCTGCGACCCCCAGAGCTCAGGGACCCCAGACCACACGGGCGGTTGTGGAGGACTGCAGAGCATCACGGGGCACAGTCAGCCGGCCTGACCCTCAATCCACTCTGTCCCTGCAGATGGAGGGGCACAGCCAGGCCCTGTGCCCAAGTCAGTGCAGAAGCAGAGGCGGGTGCTGGAGCGTCTGGTCAGCAGCGAATGTGAGTCCTCCGCCCATGGCAGCTCCTGTGCCATCGTGCCCGTCACCCCTGCCCGCGTCACCCCCTGCTCACGTCACCCCTGCCCGCCACCCCTGCCCGTCACCCCCTGCTTGCGTCACCCCCTGCTTGCGTCACCCCTGCCCGCCACCTCTGCCCGCGTCACCCCCTGCTCGTCACCCCTGCCCGTCACCCACACCCACGTCAGCCCTGCCCATGTCACCCGCACCCATATCACCCACATCCATGTCCTGGACATTTGGTGGGGTCCAGGCTTGGGTCCCTCTATGGTCTCGAGGTGTGATGGGTGTCAGTTTGGGGCACTGGGACCTGGACCCTGCCCGCTGGTAGTACACCCCTTAGTGGGAAGACAGAGGCGTGGGCAGAGAGCGGCCATGAGGGTCCCCGCGGGACAGGGGTACGGGCAGAGAGCGGACATGAGGGTCTCTGTGGACAGGGGTGCCAGCAGAGAGTGGCCATGAGGGTCCCTGCGGGATGGGGGCGTGGGCAGAGAGCGGCCATGAGGGTCCCCGTGGACAGGGGCGCAGGCAGAGAGCGGCCATGAGGGTCCCCGTGGACAGGGGTATGGGCAGAGAGCGGACATGAGGGTCCCCGTGGACAGGGGCGCAGGCAGAGAGCGGACATGAGGGTCCCCGTGGACAGGGGCGCAGGCAGAGAGCGGCCATGAGGGTCCCCGTGGGACAGGGGCGCGGGCAGAGAGTGGCCGTGAGGGTCCCCGTGGACAGGGACGCAGGCAGAGAGCGGCCATGAGGGTCCCCGTGGGACAGGGGCGCGGGCAGAGAGTGGCCATGAGGGTCCCCGTGGACAGGGGCGCGGGCAGAGAGCGGTTGTGAGGGTCCCTGTGGACAGGGGTGCGGGCAGAGAGCGGTCGTGAGGGTCCCCGTGGACAGGGGTGCGGGCAGAGAGCGGTCGTGAGGGTCCCCGTGGACAGGGGTGCGGGCAGAGAGCGGTCGTGAGGGTCCCCGCGGGACAGGGGTGCGGGCAGAGAGCGGTTGTGAGGGTCCCCGCGGGACAGGGGTACGGGCAGAGAGCGGTTGTGAGGGTCCCCGTGGACAGGGGTGCGGGCAGAGAGTGGTCGTGAGGGTTTCTGTAGTCAGGCTGGGGGTGTCGTACAGAGGGACCCGCTTGCTCTCCTGCTGCTGGAGAGAAGGCGTCTGCAGTCGGAGCTGGACAAGCCCCACCCAGCTGAGGGCAGAGGGCCGCGGCCGGCGAGGCGCACACTGCGCTCTGTTCCGGAGGCCCAGCAGTGCGCCCCCCAGTGTCCCGGCTGCGGCACCGGCCACTCCTGAGGGCCATCGCCCGGCTTCCTTCTCTCCAGCCACATGGGTGCCCCAGGAGGCCCCATCTCTCTAGCGACCCCTTCCGACCCCTGTATCTGGGCGCCCGGCCTGCGCCCTGCCCTGCCCGTGTGCCCGCAGTCCACACCGTTGGTCTCCGTGCCGCCGGCTGTCTGTCTGTCATGTTCCATGACTGGCTCGTCATCTCGCCCCTGCACCTGGAACACAGCCTCTACAGGAGGCCGCAGGAAACACCTGGCCAGTGACAGGCGAGGCAGGGCCAGCCCCATGTCCGGCAGGACTGTGACGGCTGGTGTCCGCTCACCCCCCGCCCCCAGCACCCTCTCCGCGGCCCTGGGCGTGCACCCAGCCGCGCCGGGCTGCCAGGCTGCGGGCCCAGGCTTGGGCACGCGCTGTGTGTGTTCCCCACAGAAGCGTTTCCTGGGCTCAGGACGGTGCGCGGTGTGGGCCTCGGTGGATGTGTGTGGAGTGGAGGGTGGGTGGTGGCTGGGCAGCTGCCCCCAGCGCTGAGGGAGAGAAGGTGGCAGAGAGGAGCCGGGGCTGGTGTCTGAGCGAGGCGCAGGGGCAGCAGACCTGGGCATGAGGAGCAGGGAGAGGGACCACCTGTCTGAGTTGAGGTGAGGAGGCCGGTGGGGGCGCACTCAGCCCTTCAGCCTCCCTCCTCACGCCAGGCCCCCAGCCACTGTCCCTGCCTTGCCGTCCACATGGGGACATGGCTGGTGCGGTGGGTGGACCCCATGCCGTTCTCTCCTGTGCTGTAGCCAAGAACTACATCGCGCTGGACGACTTTGTGGAGATCACCAAGAAGTACGCCAAGGGCATCATCCCCTCCGACCTGTTCCTGCAAGATGACGAGGACGACGAGCTGGCGGGCAAGAGCCCCGACGACCTGCCCCTGCGCCTGAAGGTGAGCGCGCGGGGTGCCATGCGCTGCCATCCGGCTGATCTAGTGAGAGTCCCCGAGGACAGGTGGCATGTCCTCGGGCCGGTTCTGAGATGCAGGGCCAGGGTGGCTGAGGAGCTTGGCCAAGGGAGGTCACGACCTTTCAGGACGGTCCACGCAGAGGCCTGGGCGTTTGTGGAGATGCCACTAGTGTCCTTACTAACACAGGGGGCGGGGGGGAGCAGGGCACTTGCCATGGCTCCTGGCAGAGAGGACGCACTCCCCAGCGCGGCGAGGATCTGAGGTGAGGGCGCCCCGGTGGCGTGGCCGGGTCCCTGGTGTTGCTGGTGGCTGCTCTCAGAAGCACCCTGGCTCGGACGGCAAATCGTCACCCACTGTGGGCAGTGAGCTCAGGGCTGACACCTGTGGGGAGGGGCTGCAGTGTTCAGACGAGAATGAACAAGGCCGTTCACCAAGCCGGCAGCACGCTCGGCTCCTTCCCAGCTTTCTCATCGAAGTGCAGAGGGAGTGAGTCACGGCAGGTGCCTCCTGGAAGCAGAAGCTGCTCCAGCTTCTAGTAGCCTCTCTCCGGGCGCAGAGAAGGGGCGTGTGTTCCGGGGGCGTCTTCTGCCCCCAGAGTGAGCCAGCGCGACCCCCACGGGATTCCCGGGCTCCGAGTGCCTTTCTTCTCCAGCCTCAGGACAGCCGAGCCCCGAGGGTGAGGGCGGTGCTAGTCCAGGCCCTGCGGAGTCTGTCCCGTCCCTGCGGAGTCTGTGTCCCGTCCCTGCGGAGGGACGAGCCCCGAGGGTGAGGGCGGTGATAGTCCAGGCTCGGTGGAGTCTGTGTCCTGTCCCTGAGGAGGGACGAGCCCCCCGAGGGTGAGGGCGGTGATAGTCTAGAGCCCTGCGCGATGTATGTCCCGTTCCTGCGGAGTCTGTGTACCGTACTGCGGAGGGACGAGCCCCGAGGGTGAGGGCGGTGATAGTCCAGGCTCGGTGGAGTCTGTGTCCTGTCCCTGAGGAGGGACGAGCCCCCCGAGGGTGAGGGCGGTGATAGTCTAGAGCCCGGTGGAGTCTGTGTCCCGTCCCTGAGGAGGGACGAGCCCCCCGAGGGTGAGGGCGGTGATAGTCCAGGCCCTGCGGAGTCTGTGTCCCGTCCCTGCGGAGGGACGAGCCCCGAGGGTGAGGGCGGTGATAGTCCAGGCCCTGCGGAGTCTGTCCCGTCCCTGCGGAGGGACGAGCCCCCCAGGGTGAGGGCGGTGATAGTCCAGGCCCAGCGGAGTCTGTGTCCCGTCCCTGCGGAGGGACGAGCCCCGAGGGTGAGGGCGGTGATAGTCCAGGCCCAGCGGAGTCTGTCCCGTCCCTGCAGAGGGACGAGCCCCCCAGGGTGAGGACGGTGATAGTCCAGGCCCAGCGGAGTCTGTCCCGTCCCTGCAGAGGGACGAGCCCCCGAGGGTGCGGAGCGGTGATAGTCCAGGCCCTGCGGAGTCTGTCCCCGTCCCTGGCGAGGGACAAGCCCCGAGGGTGGAGGGCGGTGAGAGTCCATTCCCTGCGGAGTCTGTGTCCCGTCCCTGCGGAGGGACGAGCCCCCCAGGGTGAGGACGGTGATAGTCCAGGCCCAGCGGAGTCTGTCCCGTCCCTGCGGAGGGACGAGCCCCGAGGGTGAGGGCGGTGATAGTCCAGGGCCCAGCGGGAGTCAGTGGTCCCGTCCCTGCGGAGGGACGAGCCCCGGGGAGGGGGGTGATGGGCGTGATAGTCCAGGGGCCCCGGCAGAGTCTGTGTCCCTGTTCCCTGCGGAGGGACGAGCACCCGAGGGTGAGGGTCGGATGATAGTCCAGGGGCCCTGCGGAGGTCTGTGTCCCGTCCCTGCGGAGGGACGAGCCCCCCAGGGTGAGGACGGTGATAGTCTAGAGCCCGGTGGAGTCTGTGTCCCGTCCCTGCGGAGGGACGAGCCCCGAGGGTGAGGGCGGTGATAGTCCAGGCCCTGCGGAGTCTGTGTCCCGTCCCTGCGGAGGGACTTCGTGGTCTGTCGAAGTTCTCTCCACCAAAATGCGGGAACGGCTCTGAACGTCAGGTTGGGTTCCAGATTAGCGGTAAGGTGCCAGCTCCGTGGGGACGCCATGCTGACCCCTCAGTGCCACCCCTGCTGGTTGGTCAGATGGCGGTGAGCAGCAGCAGCCCTGGGGGGCCTGTGGCCTGTCATGTCCATTCAGGTCCCTCCGCAGAGATAGTGAGCTGGTCGGGCCCGTTCTGAAGGGCTCCTCCCCGAGGAAGCCTGGAGCAGGTTCGTTTCACAGATGCTTGTTGCTCTTTGGCAAGTGTCCGAAATCCCTGCCAAGGCCAGTGCTGCGGTGCCTGGGGCGCCCTGGTGCCCATCCCCACGCGTGACCCTGCGCCTGCGGAGGTAGCTGGCCCAGAGCCGGGCATCAGCTGGTTTATTCATCTGCTTATTGTCCTCCTGGTAATGGAACGAGAGTGAGCGGCTGTCATAGGCCAGCGGAGGAGTTCAGCCCTCCACGTGTGTGTGCGCATGTGTGCACGTGCGCACATGTGTGTGAACGCATGTATGCGTGTGTGAACACATGTATGTGTGTGCGTGTGTGTGCATGTGCACGCACTGTCTCCTTCAGGAGCCAGCCACCCTCCCTTCTGCGGAGAACTCACCACCTGGTTGCTTTCAGGTGTCCTGGGCACCTTGAGTTGACAGCCAAAGCTCTTGGGCAGGTGACAGCCAAATCCCAGTATTGCCACTCAGTTATGCTCGCCCAGGGCCCTCCTCCTCCGCCCTCCAGTGGGGTGGGCAGAGGGTCTGTCCCGAGGGCGCGGGTAGGGGTAGTGCCGATCGGCTCCATCACCGAGACGCTCAGGTGGACCGTGGGCACGCCCCAGGCTGCCCTGTCCCTCCAGACACACCCAGACCCCTGCCTCCACGCCACAGCTGAGGACAGGCCCAGTCACGGCCGTCTCGCTTCACCCCTCCAGCCTCCCCCCGGGGCTCTGGCAGGGCTGCCAGCTCCGGGAATTCCACACGGAAAGGCAGGCGGGTGTGGGCGCACCCTGGATGGGGAGTGCCTCCCACCGCCTTCCCGAGGCTGCGCCCAGCTCCCTCCCCGAGCCCGTCACCGCCCTCTGCTGTGGTCAGGCCGCCTCTGCCCGCACTGGGTGCAGGCGGGGGACTGGCCCCCGCAGGGCAGGGGCTGCACTGAGTGCGGCCACGTGGGGTCGCGTCTGCTCCAAGCTGCATGGGGAGTGGGTGTGTGTGGAGGGATGGCAGGTGGCTGGTTCTTAGGGTCTCCTGACACCAGCGAACACCCCTCATCCGGCCTGTTACAGTGAATCATCTCCTTTTAGTAAAGGTGGCCACACCCTGCTCTTCATGTCCACCCGGAACCTCTTTCCTGGAGTCACTGCCCCACAGCCACTCCTGGGGCTGCTCAGAGCCCAGCACGGGCTTGTGCCGCACGGTTCCTGCCCCAGGGCCGGGGAGGCGTGGAGGCTGGGCTCGGGCCGAGGAGGGTCAGGATTGGGTGGGAGTGACCGCAGAGCATGGGGAGGGCGTCCCCCCAGAGAGTTACGGGTGGAAAGACCCGCTTGGACGACGGGCCCAGCAGCGGGGGGTAGCAGGCGAGGGTTCAGGTTGCCCAGCGCTGGGACGGTGCCCCGGGGCACTGAGCTGACGGAGTGGGCCTCCTGTCCGGGCCTCAGCCCTGGTTTCTTACCTTCCCCCACAGGTCTTCAAGTACCCCCTGCACGCCATCATGGAGATCAAGGAGTACCTGATCGAAATGGCCTCCCGGGCCGGCATGCACTGGCTGTCCACCATCGTGCCCACCCACCACATCAACGCCCTCATCTTCTTCTTCATCATCAGCAACCTGACCGTCGACTTCTTCGCCTTCTGCATCCCCCTGGTCGTCTTCTACCTGTCCTTCATCTCCATGGTGATCTGCACGCTCAAGGTGTTCCAGGACAGCAAGGCCTGGGAGAGCTTCCGCAGCCTCACCAGCCTGCTGCTGCGCTTCGAGCCCAACCTGGACGTGGAACAGGCCGAGGTCAACTTCGGCTGGAACCACCTGGAGCCCTACGTGCACTTCCTGCTGTCCGTCGTCTTTGTCATCTTCTCCTTCCCCATCGCCAGCAAGGACTGCATCCCCTGCTCGGAGCTGGCCGTGGTGGCCGCCTTCTTCACCGCCACCAGCTACATGAGCCTGAGCACCTCTGCCGAGCCCTACACCCGGAGGGCCCTGGTGACCGAGGTGGCCGCTGGCCTGCTCTCCCTCCTGCCCGCCCTGCCCTTCGACTGGCGCTACCTGAAGTTCCTGGGCCAGACCTTCTTCACCGTGCCCGTCGGCCACTTCGTCGTCCTGAACGTGAGCGTCCCCTGCCTGCTCTACCTCTACCTGCTCTTCCTCTTCTTCCGCATGGCCCAGCTGCGGAATTTCAAGGGCACCTACTGCTACCTGGTGCCCTACCTGGTCTGCTTCATGTGGTGCGAGCTCTCCGTGGTCATCCTGCTCGAGTCCACCGGCCTGGGGCTGGTCCGCGCGTCCATCGGCTACTTCCTCTTCCTCTTCGCACTCCCGATCCTGGTGGCCGGCCTGGCGCTCATGGGCGCGGTGCAGCTCGCCCTCTGGTTCGTGTCGCTGGAGCTCACCAAGATCACGGTCACGCTGGCGGTCTGCAGCGTCCCCCTGCTGTTCCGCTGGTGGACCAAGGCCAAGTTCTCGGTGCTGGAGATGGTCAGGTCCCTGACGCGGAGCTCCATCGTCAAGCTCATCCTGGTGTGGATCTCGGCCATCGTGCTGTTCTGCTGGTTCTACGTGTACCGCTCGGAGGGCATGAAGGTGTACAACTCCACCCTGAGCTGGCAGCAGTACAGCCACCTGTGCGGGCCGCGGGCCTGGAAGGAGACCAACATGGCGCGCACCCAGATCCTCTGCAGCCACCTGGAGGGCCACCGGGTCACGTGGACGGGCCGCTTCAAGTACGTGCGGGTGACGGACATCGACAACAGCGCCGAGTCGGCCATCAACATGCTCCCGTTCTTCGTCGGCGACTGGCTGCGCTGCCTGTACGGGGAGCCCTACCCCGCCTGCCACCCCGGCAGCGCGCCCACCGCCGAGGAGGAGCTGTGCCGCCTCAAGCGGCTGGCCAAGCACCCCTGCCACATCAAGAAGTTCGACCGCTACAAGTTCGAGATCACGGTGGGCATGCCCTTCAGCGCCAACGGCAGCCGCGGCCCGGAGGAGGACGACGTCACCAAGGACATCGTGCTGCGGGCCAGCGGCGAGTTCAAGGCCGTGCTGCTCAGCCTGCGCCAGGGCAGCCTCATCGAGTTCAGCACGGTCCTGGAGGGCCGCCTGGGCAGCAAGTGGCCCGTCTTCGAGCTCAAGGCCATCAGCTGCCTCAACTGCCTGGCCCAGCTGTCGCCCGCGCGGCGGCACGTGAAGATAGAGCAGGACTGGCGCAGCACCGTCCACGGCGCCGTGAAGTTCGCCTTCGACTTCTTCTTCTTCCCCTTCCTGTCGGCCGTGTGAGGACGGCCCCGGGGGCGGGTCAGGCACGGCGCTGCCGGACCTTCCTCCCGGGGGCGGCCCAGCCAGACGGCAACACTATGCCGAGTGTGCGCGCTCGTGTGTGCTCGTGAGGGACCTCGGTTGTGCTGTCCGGTCGCCTCCGCCGACGCTGCCCGCTTCCAGTCGCTCGGAGTGCCCAGGCGGAAATCGCATGCAGCCTGGGCCCCGCCCGGCCCTGCAGAGTGACCTCGTGTCCAGCTCGTGTCCGGGCTGCTGCCCTGAGGAGCACCGTGCACTGACCTTCTCCCTCCCCAGCCCGCAGGCGCCCACCCCGTCCTCACTTCCGTTTCGGGTTTGTTCTGAATGTGCTGCTGTGTGAACACAACGTAACACTTGTACTTACCTGGCGGCTGCTAAGCTCTGCGCGCTGCCGGAGCCATGCCCGGGGCACGCGCCACGCTCCTTCCAGGCGGGCGCCGGCCAGGCCGCAGCTCCGCACAGCATGTCCTGAGCTCGGTCCACAGCTGCCGCACGCTTCTGTGGTGGGCTGAGTGCTGGGGGTCTCGCCTGAGTCCCCCGCACAGCCCTCAGAAAGCTTGGCCCTGTTCCGGAACGGAGCGCAGAAAGGCAAGGTCCTGAAGCAGCCGAAATAAAAGCCTGTGATGAAATGTCCTTTTCTTCTTGTCTTGTTTAAAAGAAGTCCTTCCTCGTGCGGGCTCGAGAGTCAGCAGGTGTCTCCACGTGCGCAGGCTCATTCAGCACCGCAGGCTCGTTCCGAGCGTGGGGCGGGCTCTCTCAGGAGGTGGCACCACCTCCAGGCCAGGGCCCTGCGTGGCCGGCTGCGGCCACCCCACTGTCCATGCAGGTCCACTACATCCGAAACGCACCTGGTCACGTGACGTGTGAAGCTCAAGCCACTGTGAAGCAGGGGGTACGTGTTATCTGCGGTGGGTGAGACCCTGGTCTGTGCCCGGTGCCGGGCAGTGTCCTCTGCCTGCAGCCCCCGTCCCGAGGGCAGCGTCCGCATGAGGTTAAAGGTCACCCCTTCGATGACCCTGAAGACACGAGGCCATGAAATGCGTCATGGTTCGGCTTTGCCCCCAGACTCACCACTAATTGTTGGGGGGACACTTTCTGAGCAAACACAGGTGAGATCTCAGGAAGGTACAGTGACCGCTGGACCCCAGAGCCCCGGGGGGGAACAGGCTGAGAGGAGGTCACACCCCATGTTAGCAGCACATCCAGGACTGGGCCAAGCTCTGCCTGCCCTGTCCCAGGACCACCACTGTGCTCAGCGGGCACCCCAACAGGGCCACCCGTGCTTGGATCACACGTGGCCAGTCTCGGTCTCTTGAGGACCCCAGGCTGAACCACATACCAACCCCTTTTTAAAAACGTAAACTTGCACCCTGGCCGGTTTGGCTCAGCGGTTAGAGCGTCGGCCTGTGAACCAGAGAGTCCCAGGTTCGGTTCCCGCTAAGGGCACGTACCTTGGCTGCAGTTTGTCCCCGGCCCCGGTTGGGGTCGTGTGGGTGGCGACCACTCGATGTGTCCCTTTCACATCAATGTTTCTCTCTCCCCCCTTCCCCCTCCCACTCTAACAATCAGTGGAAAAATATCCTCGGGTGAGGATGACAAAAACAAAACATAAACATTGTGAAATAGCCATGTTTAGATAGGAGCCGGTCAGAGTGGCGTAGCCCAGGCAGAGGGCCAGGGCCCCCCACAAGCCCCCGGAGCACCCGGGGTGCAGTCTGCCTTCGCCCCGCGTCACGGGTGAATCCCTCACGACCTCACATGCAGGAGAACTTGGCCCAGGCCCGTGACCTTCCATCTAAAACGTTCTCTGCTTAATGGAACTAATGAGCCCTGAGTGCGCAGCTGCTGCCCTTGAGCAAATATTTACCGGCCGGATGTCGCGCAGATGCGGCCCTTCCACAGTCGCCCCCCAGCCCACCCGCGGGAGGCCCCCCCGCCCAGCGTGAGAGGCCCAGACCAGAGCAGGAGGTGCCGCGGGGCCCGGAGCAGGCACCTGCAGCCCGAGTGGGAGACGGGTCAGGAGGCTTCTGGGAGGACGTGGGGTCCGCCCGCTTTGTGAGCAAGGGAAGGAGCTGGACATGGCGAGGCCAGAGGAAGCCGTCCAGTCCGGGCAGCACCGGGAGGCCTCAGGCACGGCCCGAGGGCAGCTGGTCCCAAAGGATGGAGCTGGAATGCCCCTCTCAGCTCTGAAGCCAGGGCCCTGGTGAGGCCAGGCTGAGCTCCGGGAAGATGGGCACAGGGGGGAGGAGAAGAGACGGAAAGACCGCTCCCCAGCAGACCTGGCCGGCCGCGGTCCGCCGCAGCTCTGGAGACGGGCGGCCTCCGCAGAGCCGTAAGCACCAGAGCACCCTTGTGCTGGCCAGTCCCCTTTCCTGCTGATAAACAGGCTGCCGCCCGCAGCCCAGGCCCAGGTGGCCAGTGCATGGCGGGACTGTCGGAGACCAGACTGCCGCGGCCAAAGGCTCCCGCTTCCGGAACCTGCCCTGCCCTCTGCGGGGCTGGCACCTTACGTGAGGGCGTCTGGTCCTGGCGACCAGGTCTCACGCCTCCCCCCGCCAAAACTTCCTGAGAATTCTTGAAGGTCCGACAACTTGCCCAGATCACAGGGCAGAGCTCGGGTGGGAACCCGAGCCTGTTCTCTCAACTGGGCCTCGAAGAAATCGACGTTTCCCCGGGTGTTGAATTCCCTCTTCAGAACCCGGCGCCCGGAGCTGCCCTCGGCCCGGCCAGGAGGAACCGACACTCTGACGGCTGCCTGCTCAGGCCGGCCCAGGGAGGGTCTGCGTGGGGTGGGGGTCTCGCAGGCCTTCCACGAAGCGGGAGCAGCGTTTGAACTGCTCCCGAAAGACCCGGTCGGGTGGTGCCATGAAGAGGGTCTGCTGCCCGATTCCAGTGCCCCCTGGAATTCCCACCCCTCAGGCGCCCTGGAGCCGGCGCTGCCCCCCCTCGGGGGTGGTCACAACGGCATCGGAAGGACCGCCCTCCGGGGGACATGCTGCGGCGGACCAGTCGCTCTGTTTGGGCTCCTGCTTTCCTGGACCTGCCCCACGCCCCGTAACTGCGCCCAGAGGCCAACCCCAGTCCGGCCGTGGCCTAGGTCAAAGTTGCCCACAAAGCAGGACTTCGTCTTCCTTGAAGCTGCCATCGGATGGCAGCCCTCTGGCCAACCCAGCCCTGACCCATGTTCCGGTGTCGGAGTCCCGACACCATCTCTGCCTGTTGTCACCGAAAGCTTGTTGCTCTGACGAAGACAGTCCTGAAAGTGGGGTTTTACCAGAAATCCTCCCCTCCCACTCGGCCTCCTGAGGGTCCCCGCCAGGCAGCGTAGCTGGCACCCAGGTCCGTGCCCGGGTTAAAGCCGGGTCCCTGCCGTAGGGCCCTGCTCCTCCTGGGCAGTGTCTCAGCCCCCGTGGCCCCACCCGCGCCTGCCCCCTGGGACCTTCGCCCCGGCTGCCCCTCCCCTGAGTGTCCAGGCCCCCGGAACTCCTGCTCCCGCTCACCGTCACTAGGTTATTTTCCATCCCGAGGGCGCAGTTCTTGGGGGTGAGTCACCCTTTGGGCTCTGACGTCCCGAACTGGAAGCAGACCCAGACCACCCGTGACGTCTGGGACTCAGTCACTGGAACTGCTGGGGGGCAAGTTGCAGAAATGACGCCCGCCGACTGACCGAGAAGGAAGGCAACGAGGGCTTCTTGGGGTTGCTGGGCACACGCCCTGAGACTGAGCAGCGCAAACACCTCACCCCAGGCGCCTTCTCTGGTGGGGCCCTGCCTCCCCTGCCATGTGCCCACTGTCCAACCAGTGGGCAGTAACTGGAAGGGACACGGTGACCTCCAGGCGGGGCCCTAGGAGGACAGGCAGGTCTGCCCTTCCCTCTAGGCCAGCCATCAGCAGGGGTGTCACACAGCACCCCCTGGCTCTCGAGTCCGGGCAGAGTGCTGGACTGGCCTCGCTCGGGCCACACACCGGCCCAGGACCCTTGGACCGACACGTCCCAGCCTGCCCACCTGAGGTCAAGGGTGAATGTCAACTCCCCTCCCCTCTGCATGGCTAGCAAATCCTGGTCAGCAGTGACAGGGGCCTGGGGAAGCATGCAGACCCCTAGACTGTCCTGGCTGGCGTTGGCAGTCTGGGTCCCCCTGCAGGCGCCAGGCTCCAGGCTCCAGCAAACCCCTCATCCTCCCCACGCCCCCTCCCCCTGCGCCCCTTCCCTCCCGCAGACTCCCCTCCTTGGCGAGGTCTCTTCATCCCAGCATGGACACAGACCGATGGGTGGCCTCCTACACGACCCCAACTTGGGTAGGGATGGAACCTGCAACCCAGGCACATGCCCTTGACCTGGAATCGAACCCGAGACCCTTCAGTGGGTGGCCAGTGCTCTAACCACTGAGCAACCGGGCAGGGTGCATGTTCGACACTTTGGGCATAATTGTAGGAATAGATTCCCTTCCATGTCCATTTTCACTCGAGCCCCAACGTTGCCCTTGCGTCTGCAGACTTTCCCTCGCTCCCTGACTGTGTGGGCCCCGTGCTGACAGGATCCAGGTGGAGATCATGGGGCTTTGTTTTCCAGAAGGGACATAGCTGTTTGCAGTGAATCACTCACAACTTCAGAATTATTCTGAGCGCTAAAAGCTTCTCGGTTGCCAGGAAACCACCCCGGAAGCTGGGAGCCTTCGTTCAAGTTTTCACCAGCTGGGTGGCATGTCCGCAAGCCCTGACGGGAGGGGGGCCTCCAGGTCTTTGTCAGGTGTGTGGGGGGGGGCTAGTTCCAGGCGGAGGACCCGCAGGAGCCCTGGCCGGAGACGCCCATCAGAAACCCCCTGCAGGGACTCAGGCGGCGGAGGCCAGGACCCCGTTTGGATCCTGCTCCAGGACTCACAAGTTCGCGGCCTTGGGCAAGTCACCCCTTCTTTGCACCTCCGTTTCCTCACCCGTGGAATGAGAGAAAGCACCGCGTCCACCTCCGGGTGCCTGTGCAGATGGAGTGGGTGATGTGCCCAGACCGCTCAGCGTGGCGCCCCGTGCGGGCCGCGGCTCACGCGTGCGCGGTTCACACGCAGTGTGCAGGGAAAGCAGTGGCCAGCTAGGCCCGTCACCAAGTGGCCCACCGGCCGGGCCCAGGCTCAGGACGGAGCCCAGTGGGTGTGAGGACCCCAGAGCTCAGGGCTGAGGACAGACGGGACGGCAGTGACTTTTCCCTCTGAGCAGATGCAGGCCTGTAGCTGTGCAGGGTCCGGGGAGGGGAGCAGGGTTTGAGCACTGCCTCCTGTGGGTACCGGGAGGAGACCGGCCCAGCGCAGGTCTGCCTGGGCCCGCCTGCCGCGGGTGGCTCTTGACTCCGTGCAGGAAAGATCTCACGAATCTGGGTGACTTTGAGGGGACGTCTGTTAAAGCTGGGGACAGTGAAACGAGGAAGGGCCTAGGACCAGAAGCAGGAGAGCGCCTGGGGGCGGCTCTGGCTCCTAGAAACGTCCTAGGAGGGAAGTGAGCCCAGGTGGGGAAGTCAGAGAAAAGGGGCTTGGGGACAGGCGCAGGGGGTTTGCCTGCACGAGCGGCCGCTGCCCATTGCTCCCCTGGTTGCAAGTCTCATGGGGTCCCTTAGAGTTTAGGAG